GTAGTTAGTAATATATATATACATATATATATATATATATATATATATATATATATATATAAGATTGAACTATTATTATCTAAATCATGGATTCAACGTCTGGTGAAAAAAGAACTAGAAAAGGTGCAATTTGATTTGATGTAGACGCATGATTGCAGTATGGTCATGACCAATCAAGTAATTCTCACGTAATCAATCAATATAGCATGACAAAAAAATTAAATACAAATAAAAAATATTAAGTAATATGAATCTGAACATTAGAAATTGAATTATTATTGAACGATAAATGAATTTAAGTAATAATTGAGACAGATTGAGTCACGATTCGATTAGTCCAAATCACGCACACGAGTTCTTGATTAGTCCATTTCAAGCAATCCATTAGCCCATGTTCTCGGCCCAGCCCAGCCCAACCTAATCCGCGAAGTTTACCACAAAAGAAAAGGAAAAAATTATATTCAAATAAAAAACTGCCCTGAAAACATTAAGCATGTCTTCGACTCCGACTCACTCTCTCTCTCTCTCTCCCTCTCTTGCGACCGTTGCCTCGTATTCCCGACCGTACCTCTTTCCCTTTCCCCTCCCATCTCTCTCTCTCTCTCTCTCTCTCCTCTCTTTTGGTGCTGCCACCGAAGAGAAATAAGCGAGAGCAAAAGAAAGGGGAAATTTTGAAGAGGAAATGGGGGAGAAGCCGCTGCTGCTGCTGCCCTTCTTCTTCTGCTTCTTCTTGCCGTTCTATCTGCTTGCGGGCACGGCCATCGCCAAGTCGACGATCGAGCCGTGCACGGGAACGGACTCCTGCCCGGCGCTGCTCGGCTACAGGCTCTACGCCGACCTCAAGGTCTCCGAGGTGGCTGCCCTCTTCCAGGTTGACTCAGTTGCCCTCCTTGCCGCCAACTCCGTCGATTTCTCCGTCCCCGACGTCGAGAACCGCATCCTCCCCTCCGGACTCTTCCTCCGCGTCCCCGCCGCTTGCTCCTGCTCCGGCGGCATCCGCCGCTCCCTCTCCACCCGCTACACCGTCCGCCCTGCCGACACTCTCGCCTCCATCGCCGCCTCCGTCTACGGCGGCCTCGCCTCCTCCGACCAGATCCAGGAGGCCAACAACATCCAGGACCCCTCTGCCCTCGACGCCGGCCGCACCCTCGTCATCCCCCTCCCCTGCACTTGCTTCAACACAACCGACAACTTCCTCCCCGCCGTATACCTCTCCTATGTGGTCCGCCAGGGCGACTCCGTGCCCGCCGTCGCCGCCCGCTACTCCACCACTGTTACGGACATCATGAACGTGAACAACATGGGTAGCCCGTCGGTCCAGCAGGGGGACATTCTCGCCATACCGCTTCCAGGTATATTGATGTATTATTCTTTGTTACAGAGAGTGTGCAGTGTCACTCGAACCAAGCAATTTGCTACTTTATGCTGTTCGTGCCTTTGCATCCTAACATGCGAGTGCATTACTTTGACTATATTCTAGCCCTTTGGATTAAAGGAATAAAGCCTAATGCTTTCTTAAGTGGTCCGAGCAGACAACCTACATTTAATTTTCAGAGGAATCATGGATAAAGGGAAGCGAGGCAAAGGTTAAAGCCAAATGCTTCTCCTTTTAAACCATGAAACTGAAGTGGCCAGATCTCTAGGTTTGCTAAGATTTCAAGAATATTGTTTTTTCCTTGAACTTAACATTATAGAAAGAAATCATAGATCGTATAAAGTTACATGTCTTTGATTGTCAGAGTTGGTCCATGTTCAACCACGCAATGCAGTAAGGTTATATACATTGATCCTATCGGCACCCAAGGTTTTGCAGAAACCTCATACATTAGGTTGTCCTTTTCTTGAAGGAAATGGCTAGGACTAAAATCCAACTTGTCAAATGAACATAACCACCTCTAGTGCATCTACTATCGTGCAAGTGTCTAAATTGATATACATGTCTTCTGTAAACATGTTCACTGTTATGGAATATGAAGGAAATAGAAAATCCTAAGCCTGAGGTAGCATGTTAGGACACAATAATGATGGAATCATGCCTGGCGTTTCAAATAACTGCACTCTACTTCATTGGAATGTCACAAAAATCTAGCCGAATTATTTATATACAAACACTCGAATTATTTATATACAAACACCAACAACAGAGAGACTGAGATAAGATGGAAATAGATTCTTGGATTAAAAAACATGTTATTTTGGAATATGATTGATATATCTGTTGCAACAATATCATGGAATTTGCTTCCGAGAAGAATTTTGAGGGATCACCGTTAAGGAGAGGAAACACTCTGTTTTCTAGTTCCTGTTTCAAGTAACAAAGAGAAGCTATTCTGGCCACTAAGGATATTGGAACTTGGAAGTATGAGAAGTTCTCTTGATGTTTCACTTATATAGGAAGATGATCTATAACACTGTTAAAGCAATGTTATGAAATATGATGACCCAAAGAATATCAGGGACCAAAGATCTGTCTATTATGTAGTTGAAATGTATGGATTTTCATTGTCTTTTCAAGTTCTTTATATTTCCTAATCTGCATCGAACATTGCATAAACATTAAGGATCAGTGATCATTGAAAAGGCCTTTTAGTGACATGTATTAAATAGTCTGACTTGGCTTATTGTTGTTTAGGTCCAAAATTACAACAAAAAAAAAACGAACATGTGTTTTCTGTGTAAAGGTTTAGAGATATGCAGTTTTACAAATCAAACATAGTAACATACATCCTGAAAGTGGTTCTCCTCTCAGTAGTCCCTTTAGTGATTTTCTTTTTTTGTGCCATAGTGTCATTTTTCTTTGGTAATATGTTGTTACCATGATTTTCCATCTTCAGAGTTGTCCCTGATTGTGAATCTATTGTTGATCTTGTCTCTTTATTACTTTTTCAAGGGTGCTAAAGTTTTTCTTTCTTTTTTTTTGGGGGCCGGGGGGTACAGCGTGTGCGTCAATGTTTCCAAAGTATGCCTCGGATTATGGCTTGATTGTAGCTAATGGGACCTATGCCATTACTGCTAGTCACTGTGTTCAATGCAGTTGTGGACCTGGAAATCTCAAGTAATCATTAACCTTCCTTTTTCCCTTTCTCTTTTTGTTTCTTTAATTTGTTTTTTCACTTTAAGCTTAATTGCAACTTCTTGCAGTTTGTACTGTACACCAGCATCACTAGCAGTGTCATGTTCAAGCATGCAATGCAGTAACAGTAGTCTTATGCTTGGAAATTATACTTCCCAACAGACTGCTGCTGGTTGTAGTGTTACCTCATGTAATTATGGTGGTTTTGTTAATGGATCAATCGTCACTAGGTAAGCAGATTCTATTGTTCTTTTATCTTGATAATCTTCTTCTAATAGAACAAGTCAATGATATTTAATTAATTTTGCAGATTGAGCACATCTCTTCAACCTCGATGTCCAGGTAATCTTTGTACTTCTTTCCCATGTTTGTACTGTTCAATTCATGTAGTTCCCAAGTGACAACTGCATAACTATGCAACAATTGGTTTTATTATCTCATTCAGGGCAACATCAGTTTCCTCCGGTCATACCGCCACCAACCACGGTACTGCATGACTCATTTCTTGTGCCATCACCATCGCCAGCCGAAGCAGGTGGTACAATTACAACCCCCAGGTCTTCGATGCCAGGAACGTTTACACTCCCTGGTGTTTCTCCTGCCTTCAGCCCAACCGGAAGCACTTCTAGGGCCTCTTCTGTTAGACCATTAAGCCACACTCTATGCTTGTTTGCCTCATCTTTGGTTTTGCTCATGCTCCTGTTTTAGATGGTCTTGTTTCTTCATCTCTCGGTAGTGGCATGCAAATTTCCTTGTGGTTTTTTGGCGAGCTCGTTTGATGCATCTGACATTGTCAAGACTAACATTTTACATGTAGCCGAACAAATAGCTGTAGCATTTTTATGAACTCGTCTTCCGCCTAATTTTGGTGCATTAATTAAACAGATGAGGCAACAGAAAAGTACAAGAGACTACTACTACTGTTCCTGAGGATAATTTGGGATCCAACTAACAGGTTTTGTAATGTGGTTCACAATTGGCATCAGCACTTGTTCCATGTAAGGTGTTGGTGGTTTCTCTTCAACCTTCACTTTTGTTGATTGTCTTTGTTCCCTTTTGTCCTGGAATCTTGCGACTGAGCAGCTGTGCCTTGTAATACAACCAATTATTGTCTTGAAGCACTCATGACATCCACCACCTTGATGTGCATTTCTCTCAAAACCTGGCAACATCATGATTGACCTACAGCAATTTTCCTGTGTGTGGAAATGGCAGGTGGAAGCTTCAAATTGGCAGCTGGCTGTAATTTTTTGATGAAAAGCTATATCTTTTAGCATCACCCAGTAGTTTTTCTTTTGTGCTATGATAATATGAACATTGTTCTCAAGAAGGAGATCCATATTTAGGATGTGATGTTTTGCTGGGTCTTTAATCTATGCTGTCTTGGCCTCCTATTTTTTGCCCTTCATATTATGTGATCATTATAGAATAAAATTGAGATGAACAGATTTCCCCCTTATTGTGGGAGCAACTACAGAAAAATGATTCATACCCACAAAAAACTCAATCCAAATTGTTCCACAACTGCATTTCCTTAAAAATGTATGATGCCATTGCTCAAGTTCAACTCTTTCTTCTTCTTCATAAATGCTTGCAGTAACTTAGTAGTGTTGTGATTTAAATCCCTCTCTAGAAGCTCTTTCTAGTTTAGAATTTACATTATTTTTGTGGGTAGAATTAGCATTATGCATCTTCCAATAAATAAATATATATATATATATATATATATATGACTTATTTTTATTCTCATCATCCATAGATCAATTACACCAATTTGTGAGGTTGCCTCTTAGACAAGCATAGAGGAAGTCGATCACTTCACCTCTGAATCCACCATGAATTCCTTTCTCCAAGCAAAAACACCACAGACAAACCTCAGAAAACTCGAATCATGTTCTAAGGATGGAGGGTGCGACGCCCGAGTCTGATCAGTATACAGCTACAAAAAGATCGCATGCATGTCTTCTCAGCATGAGTGCAAGGAGAAGGAGTGGTGGACGCCATGGTGAGAGCGGTGCGACGACTCCCTCTCGATAAGCCACCGGAGATGGAGGAAGTCGTCGACGGAGCAGGGAAGCTTGAGCGGCCCCGACGAGTGGTAGCCGTAGACCTCCTGAGCCGACTCGAGAAGGCGCTTGAAGAGGGGGTGGTAGAGGTAAGAGATAGGGATGACGAACTTACGAGTGCCACCACCGTCTTCTCCGTCCTCGAGACCCACCCTCACGGTGAGCGATCCCTTCTTCACCTTCGTCTTCTTGTCCTCTTGCATCTCTTCTCCGCAGTAGGGGATGAGTTGGCTTGTGGTCTTCTCTGTGGCCTTTGGAGCGAGAGGCTTCCCCATTTATAGACGAAGAGGAGATAGAGAGAGAGCGAGAGAGAGTGGGCGATTCGAAGATTTGAGTACGATCTTGTGCTACGGAATCCATCACCCACATAAAAATAATAATAATAATATTATTATTATTATCATTATTATTATTATTATTATTATTAATCTTAAAAGAAAAAATATATTTTATTCTTTTACTTTTAGATCATTTATTCTGAAACTTTATTAAGTAAAAAGTCGAGTACAAAATATATCATTTTCATCAAAGTATATAAGCATAGAAAAATTATGATAATTTTATTTTACAAAAATAATCAATCAAATAGTCGACGGCATTCGAAAAAATTAGACATGTCGAACTTATCGAATATGATTAGTAATTTGTCAAAAAGGAATAGCTCAACTAATAGCCTCAATTATAATATTAGAATCAAATAGAAGTAATACATTAGTGAAACCAACATTTCTTGGATTTTTTAATCCATCCAAGAATTTGGCGATGTTTATCATTTACTCTAAAAAGAAAATATCCTCATCTTGCAATAAGATAGAAACTCGCTATTCTCATTTTCAACACTATGCTCGATGAAACAAAAATAATATATCGATTATCAATGTATAATCTAATAGAAATTGGCTCTTAATTAATCTAAATATGATCGATCGGATTGAGTCCATTATTTTATAGGTAAGTGGTGGTTGGCTTTATCCTTGAAGGAAGTCGAACCCATGTGACAATTCTTATCTGCTTCCTAAGACAGTTGACTTGGGTCTCTCTCTCTCTCTCTCTCTCTCTCTCTCTCTCTCTCTTTGGGGCTAGTGGAAGACAAAGATCAAAAGTGCATCACCTATCTGCCTGCAATCATTTGGAGCTGGAGTTGACCTTCAACTCATTAGCACCATGCATAACCAAGTAATTAATACTCTTCCTGAATTATATGATGAAAGACTTTTTGTCTTTTGGTATATTAGTCCAAAAATTCTATAGGCCATACATACTAATCTTTCGATTTAATATTATAAACATGTATAATATTATAATAATAATATCAGCGTTCTTTTTCTTGACATTTATGAAAGGTAGCATACCTCAATGTAAATTACATTTTTTTATGTGTAACTCTTTCAACCAAAAGGCTTTATTTCAACATATAATTATATTTTTCTGATAGAAAAATTGCTTCTCGGAAGCTATAGTATTATTTTGCAATATAAAAAATAAATTAGAATTTTGAGAATAGTTTTTTTCTCCTTTTTCAGTGATTGCATATTAGTCCAAGAATATCCTTAATGAACCTTTCCCTCCTCCAATTGGTATATCTCTTCTTTTAACTTTTTTCTTTTATTTTCTTCTTCCATTTCAATTACGAGGAGAATAATTGTATGAGTGCATCACATTCTCATTTTTGTTAGACTCACGCAATGATAGATTTGATCAAATTTAAGTTCTTCTTATGTGTTATAATTTAAAACGTTATGATCAATCTCTTCACAAAATCAAATAGTCTGGTAGTGTGTTATTTGGGTTTATTTTTTCCACATTGATAATTCAAATTCTCACCATGACACTTTGTACATGAATGTATAAAACTAATGATCGATCTTTTTTCTTAAGAAATAAAAGAGTTTTGTACATGAATTGATAATTAAGTTTCAATCGTTGAGAAAAGATTGAGACCGCCTTCATTACACTTCGATAATAAATTCTACAAACTCTATAATTTGTAAATATTTAAGAATTAAAATTCATATGACTTGTGTGCACATCAAACTAATTCAAAATCTTTCATACATGAAATTATATGGTTTGATCTTTATTCCAACTATCGAAGAGATTATACATACAAAAAAATAAATAAATTTACTTGTTTTGATACTTGTATAATAAATACTATGGATCAAATCAAAATATATTACTTACAAAAAATATTACCCTTTCCACCCTCCACTTCATGCATATGCTTGATTTCTTTTTACTTGCTATTTACATTTAGAATCAAATGGACAATGTCTAATGAATTTAACTTTGGACCTCCATCAATTTTTGGATAGATACTATTTATATGAAGTGCATAAAGTAGGGTTTGTTGATCATAGACACAACAAACAATGTGATGATGGGGGAAGGAGAGCAAATAAAATGTGATCCTAAGAGCTTGGAGGAGTTGCTGCTTAGAGTTCCAACACCGGCCGAGGCGATCGATAGGGAGCGTTTGATGGAACTCATCGAAAAGGGGAAGAAGCTTAGGGTTCTTCAAAGTTGGGCGGTGGTGGCGCACTCCTTCCTCGGTGGATTCCCTCCCAACTCTTTGTCCTGTCAACACCCAATTCTATTCGCTCACCTTTCACGTGACTCACTGTGATTTCAACTTCTTTGGGTGTTATTTCCTTCAAAGCATATTTTCTCTTTCCTTATTACCCTCCCTTTGCAATCTTTTAAAGACTAAATTATATATATATATATATATACATAAAAATCTTTGTAATTGTTCTCATTTATGTTAGGGTACAAATATTAAAAATATAAATTATTATTATTATTATTATTATTATATATTTATATATATACACACACGCACACATCAACCGCTGCCTTTGGAAGTTGCTTTTGATGCCTTCATGGGACCATTGCGACTTCCAACATGCACATCATGCGTGGTGGCATCAGCAACGTCGTAATCCATGTTGTTTGGAGGATATATGTCATGGAATCTCAATCTACTGCTGTGTTCGTCTCTACCACACCTTTACAGAGACGACGGCCACCGAAGACTTTGACGACTTCCGATGCCTAAAACCCACCTCTTTCGGTGGTAGGACTGCTGCTGGACCGATCACTTGGCTTCTCTCTCCCTTTCACAGTTTATCCAATCCAATCGTTCCCTTCCTTCTTCCATGAATAATAGTTCGGCACCGGGCAACACCGACATCAGAAAAGCAATGGCAATGGTCGAGTCACTGATTCCTATGTTGTGACGTTTCTGCTGCGATCCGTATTCAAAATGCACGCGCTTTCTGGTGGAAGTCACGTCTTGTGGCTTCTCCAGAAGAGTCGAAAGAGGTCTCACTCCAAGAACGAACAATTTAGAATCGAAAAAGATCATGCCAGTTGTGGTGCGCCCATCTTGGCAAGTCACTGTTGCCGAATGTGATCTTCTATCATGTTGAGTACATCTGAAAATGAAACCGCAGCATACGATTCGAGGCTTTTGTAACCTTCGTATCAAGTAGATGAGACAATTATGGGAAAATTATAAGTTATTGCGGCACAAAAACAAAATTTTTTTTTTGAGTTAAGATTGATTATTTTAAAATCAGCTAAATGAAGCTTAATCCATAAATGTCAGCATTCAAATTTTATTAAAGAAGCAATAGGTTATACTATAATTATTTAGGATCGATTGTATGAATTTTTTTTTTCCATCGGTGAGATCTATAAAGCATAACATTTTTAGTTAAATTAAGAATATTTATAATTTTAACACTAATATTAATTATTTTAACTATAGGTTTTTTTATTTATTACGTGACAATTTATGAAAATTTCAGTTCTTACAAACTTTAATATCGTGTTATGTCTAATAGTTGGGAGAGTTGGAATGACGGATATGTGCAGTTATAATTAGGTCTCCGGCATCAATGTGATCACGGGATAAATAATTTGGAATCACATCCGATCCATCGACATGACAAAAGTATCTCCCACCTGTCATTATTTGGAATCACTTCATCGTATACCACCCGATAGTAATTTCAATTCTTCACCCTCACAGAAGTAAAATGGGAGAGAGCAGTTGCAGTTCCATCAGATCTGACAGCAAATGAGCAAAACAAGATTATGCATCAAGAAATATGGTTTGCTTTAACCAAGTCAACGTAAATAAACCGATATGAATGACAAAATTTATCAAACTATTGTAGAATGTTTTATTCACAATGGAAAGATGTCGATGATAGTGCGAAGAAAATCTTAGCATTCACAAATCATAAGCATTTTGGCTGGCAGCCTTGCAGATTGTCATAATACAAGGGTCTGCAGTTGGCGTCACGAGGAAGCTCGAGTGTCACACAAGTTGATTAGCAAAACATGAGCAAAGACAATCCAATTCGGAGTCTTCAAGAAAAGTTGATGCACTAGTTAAATCAGAACCATTGGTAGTTTCTTTTACAAACTCTGAAGCTTCTCTTGACCATAAACCTCAAGAAGTCTCCTGGAGGCGATATATGGTGATCTCTTGCTGCTTGAAATACCGTCGATCCTCCTCATCCACGAGAACAAGATTCAAGAAATATTTCACACTGAACTTGTTGTTGATGTTGCGATATGTAGGTGTTAACTCATAAGGGCTCAGAAACAACCTTATAGGGATTGATTCCCCTGGGGAAAAAAAAAAGGAATGAAAGAAAGACATTAAAACTGAAACTGACAGTGAATCTACAAAAGAAAATTATAGTTCATATACCAAGGATATTAATGAATAAGAATGTCCAATAATCATGGAAAGGAGAGGAAGTTCACATCAAATTCCAAAGAGATTTGGTGTGATTGAAACCAAGCATATACAAATTCACTTTGGGCCTTTGGCATCTATTTCAGATTGATAAAAGTAAGGTTTTCGATTCCTGACTTCAGGATATATTACAGCTCTCCTTTTCATGCTGCAGTATTTCAAATGCTTCATTCCCTGGTTTTTAAAAAAGACTAGTATGGCACCAGAATAAGATTAATGCTTTACTCTCTGCTTTGAGTACAACAGGTAGAATGCAGAATGGAGTAAGCTTAATCAGGATAAATCTTCCTCTCTGCAAATTAAAAGTGGAACGATCTTTCAATTGTCTGAGAAAAGTTTGGATTAATGTATTGTGTATAGGCTTACAGAAAAGAAAAGTTGGATGTCAGTGGCCTTCTTTGGGATTGTAGTGGTGTGAGTCTCACTCTGGTGCTTTTGTACATAACTACACAATTTGCATTGTACAGCTTTCTAGTAAGCTTATAATTTTTTTAGTTACCCAAAGAAAGTGAATAGCATCTGAAAATGCACAAGTACCTGTCGCTTGTAGCGGGAAAAGAGAAAAGAAGAAGACAAACTAACGGTGTCACCAAGAACTCAAAGAAAAATTAGACAGTTATGACGTTGCTCCAAGAATAAGCATGTACTGCAAATTTTTGTCCCAAGAATTTAAAGATTCAAAATATAGGATAATGACATCGACACAGGCATATAGATGTTATGTTGATTAAGCAATCAGTCTGAACTGTGAAAACATGGCATGAACTTATATGCTCAACCAAAGTTTCTGGAAGAAAATGCAGAATAATGTAAGGACACGGAGCTAGTCCAATATATGTACCTCTAACAGGAGCACCGTCCATTAACTCAAATTTAGCTAGCGTCTCTGTCTCAACATATGTGTTGGGCCCTGAACCAGTTGATTCTCGGCGTCTGATCTCAAGTTCCATATTCTTTATTTTGATTCTTACGAGAAGAAAGTAGATTTTCCCAATTATAACATCCTTCAGGTGATACCTAGAAGGAATAAGTTCATTTCAGCGAAGCAAATACCTATACTTACACCTAATAGCAAAAACGTAGTTAAGTATATAACTAAAACTTACTTGCTTTTATTGTATTCAAACTCTATGTGCAAACAATCTTCGATGCCAACTTCCATCTGCAAAAATAACCATACAAGTTGAAACATCAACTAACTAAAGGTCTGGAGAAACTAAATATGGCATGCTTACAACTGCTTTTAATAAAATTCAGACCTCTGATAGTTCCTAGGAGGCTAGGACAATTAAATTTAATTGCTTTTTTTAGGTTTCTTTAAGAAAAACTTCAGGATCACTCAACTACATTTTCTTGTCATAATTCGACTTTATTTTACTCTTCACACAGAGACACCAGTTATCTGTGATTGCTGATAAAAGAAAAAAAACAAGAAACTATAAGGTTAAAAAATTCATTACTAATCAAAAGTAAGGTTCTCAATTTCAGTCCGTACTAGTGTACCGAGCCCTGCTCGATACAATACGTACTGAGGTATACCGATGGTATGCTGGGGCATACCAATCGATACACCTCGGCAACGATCGAAATCCAGGGTGTACCAACCGATATGCCTCGGTAACGATTTGATTTCGACAACTACAAGACGGTATATATCTTGTATCGCTCGATACGAGGTCAAAACATTGGTATCACCTGGTAGAGGGCGGTCTGCATATCAATATCCTCTTGGACCGATATGTACCGCCCGTACCAGGTGGTACACATCGAAATTAAGAACCCTGATCAAAAGTATAGGACATGTGGAACTTGTTGTACCGTAGGCTTATTGCTTCATACAGCTAAACACCAATAACTTTACCACGTGGTATACCGAGATGCATTTAGACAAAATCCAGTAGGTCATTGGACTGATAACTACTAGTTTGCATCGAACGGTGTAGCATGTACTTGAAACCTTGTAACGGGAATAAATGACATCTTAGTGGAAATGAGGACCTAAGACAGAATGGTTATAACTTCAAAACACTGAAGAAAAAAATTAATATTTGAAGATAGATGCATGGGTTAATGGACTGAGGTTGTTCATTTTCATTTTGCAAGACTACCTTTTCCATACATGTTCTGGTACTTTGTAAAGGATGTCATAGCTAAGACATCATAATGATGTAATGAACCGGAATGGTAAAATGCAATATCAGATACCTAGTCTTGATGCATACAAGATGAATAGATAGTAGTAAGTTAAAATTCGTCTGACAGAAAAAACAGTGACATGCTTTACCCACATAAAGTACTTACGATTATTTGGAACACAGGGCTTTTTTGTTTATCAATGTGATAGTCACATGAAATAAATTCAAAACCACAATGATGGCTGTTTCACTTGTCACCTATATTATATGTCAATGTTAGTTGAATAATGTGTAGGTTCTAGAAACTCCATGCAGCACTTGCTACTCTATGATTGTCGCTTCCCATATATTGTGCAGGAAGTCTAAGGGGCATTAAATCACAACACAATTCCTTTATACACAGTAGTACAATCCATATTATATGAAAATACACTGATTCCACAGATACATATGTGGATAAGAGAGCACATAATACCATAACTAAGTCAAAGTTTTTGCTATTACCATCCAGAAGATACACTGACCTTAATGCTATTGTTAATTGTTGGTGCTGGGGTATAGTTGCGAACCTGATATTATAACAAATTAAACAACATGAGTCAAAGTATGCAAAGGAATGGAGAAAACACCAAATTCATAAAAGAAAACTAATAAAAAATGAGTTATCCTAACAATTGCCCATGAGCAACCAGCTCTCACAAAACTGACTTTACCTTTTATCGGTTTTGTAAGAGATCAGCATGTGGAAAATTGTTGGGAAGGAAATTCTGTGATGCAGTGTAATATTCAAAGAAAACACAAGCATGATAGAATAAACAAAATCTAGAATCTGCTATGACTAGATGTACCGCTGAAGATTTTGTCTGATTAACATACTGTCTCATAGCATTTGATTTTTTGTATAATACATGTGCAGTCGTGTACCAACAAGAGTCCATCCCACTATATTTTGGAAGCATGTTCAAATTGAAATTTGTTATCTTGAACATGAATTTTTCAGATTGTCAACACGCATGGCATTCAGCATTTACATATTGCAGGATGAAAAAATACTTGTGGTACCAGACATCTGAATCGTCAAATTTCAGTTTGTTTTCAGCATGCCTCTCCATATTTTAACAAGAAATTAGGGCATAAAGGATCAGTTCTAATATGGAAATGTTGCATTTTAAGCTACCAAATGTTTAACAACCATGATGATAGAAAGAACTTACCCAGAAATCTTGGTACTCGACAATGTTGCTTACATAGTTCCGACTGATTGTCACTTTCAAAATGTACCTGCAATATAGTAGGAGATATGGTTGCTGCTTGTCAGTCACTGATATCAAACATGCCGACACATTGATCTCTCAAGGTAGCTGTTGTCCCAAATAATACCAAAATTCTAGAAGCAAATGCTTATAGTGTAAAAAGGGTCAACATGGACTAAAACTCAAACATGATTAAATTCACGTAGCAACTTTCATTGGGGAAAGAGATCAAGACAGAATGCTGCAAACAATTCAGAACAGTATAAAAAATAATATCTTAAAAGAGTAAATCGATCAATCAAAAATTTATCTTCAACTCTTCAAACAGTTACAAAAAATATTTCTTGACATTTTGATATATCACACATGATTATTTTATAATTATTTTAGAGTTATCACATTCTGTCTCACACTTCCTTACTAAAGTCTGCGACAACAATTCTCAATTTTCAAGGAACATGTATAATTTAAAGATGTTGACTTTTCTTTACTGGTTCACTTAAGTTCCATGGAGTTGTCTGATCACCTAAATTAATTTTCTTTCTCTCATCCTCAATCCATGCTAATCCTAGCTTGTTGTGAAATAACTTTCTTGCTACAATAATAGAATCAATTTCATTCTCTTCACCAACTTTTTACTATTTGGCTTGTCTTAATTGTCATTTATACCCTTAAAGCATTTCCAAACTAGTATAGATCATAAAATTTGCATTTTGATCTAGGATAAAAAAGTGTAAATTATAGAATCAGATAAGTGATGGTAGATAATGAACCAAGCCCAAGACCAAGCACTTTCAATTTCAAACTGAATGCAATATCCTTCCATTCAACAATAAAGAATGTCATATTAGAATCAAAACAAATCAGGATTCAAATTGTCTTTTGAAGCAACAAAAGAACTTAATTGCAACACTCTAGGTGTCCGCTCTATTCATTTCCATTCACTATGTATAACTTGTCGGTAAAGACCCTAAATATAATTCTGTACAAGGATGGCATTGGTAAAAGATACTAGCTCAATACATGATTACTGGAAAACATGTTAAATTTATTTACTAAGGTATCAGCAACAAGGAAAGGTATGCTCACCTTAACCTCACATTGATACCATTATATGACTCATAGGGCATCTCAACTGATGAGAACTCAAATGGGAAAGTTTTTCTTTCATATATATCACCAGGAATATCAAGCTCCCGCACTGTAAATAATATCATGTTATTAGAATTTAAATATAATCAATTCTCTGCATAAAAGTTCATACTTAGGCACATTGTTCTTAACTTTTTAAAAGAAAAGTTTTACTTATGTAGTTTCACATTAGAATTAAAACCATATACCTTGTCCTAGTAACTCAAATTACATGCAGAACCTCTCAAATTTTAACTCTTAGGTGGTTAGACCTTGATAAAAAACATGGAAATTTTGGCTTGAGTTATTTTAGAACAAAGACACGAACAAAAAACAGGAAATAAGTTACTATAATTAGTTCAAAATGCTAGAAAAATATCAGATCAAAAGTTTTTTCACTGGCATGTTATCTTATTCTTGAACTTCTGGATCCTAAACACAGTTTGGTTATGTTCCCTTTGTGATCAATAGCCTTTAACCATTTCCGCTAATTTGGCCTCAACATCCACCTTTTCAAAAATATATAGAAGAGTGAAAGGAATTGACGATGTATTTAAGAATTCATTTATTTATTTTGTCTTTTTCTAATTTTATAGGTGTTGACGAATTTGTTTACATTAGTAAATTGAGGCTATAACTGTCTCTTGCAAATATTAAAAAAAAGGATATTATTTGCTGCCACCTATTCATGCATTTCGATGCTTGACAATATGCACTCAGACCCATTTGATGGCTTTGCAACATAAATGACATGTAATAAAAATTAAATTACCAACTAACCTAGAGAGGTAAAGTCATAAAAGTTTCCTCTGTCAAAATATAGCTCTGCAAGAATATGAGAAAACAAAATAAGGAAAACAAAGGCAATATTTTAGTAAAAGAAAAGCAGAAAATGCTCAAAACATCTAAATACAACATTAACACTTTGCTTTGGTTACATGGACATATTGTGGATGTATGCATATTTTAGTTATCTCTAATTAAGTAAATTCTTAGGAGATTCTTATTCTGATACTGCAAAGAAATCTGCGCTAGTTTAGACCAAGAAAAGCAAGCATGGCAGTAAGGCTCTTATACCAATGTTATCTAGGGAACTAGAGCGACGCAAAAAGCTACTGTAACTAAAGTAACAAGTTACAGATAGTTAAGCACAACAAGCAGTCAGTAAATAGATAATAAGTCCAACGATCATTTTCACTTTCTCTAGGTAGTTGCTAATAGCTATAGTTGGACCCAGCAAGTATCCCAAAAAAGAAAAAGGAAAAAACATAGACTTGCTCTTTCTTCCTCTCTTCCAACTTTTCAAGTGGAATGCTTATGTACTTAAAGCAATAAACTACACACAATTCTTATCACAGAAACATTGAATTGATAATAACTCCAAATAATGTTTCAATTTGTAGAGGTTGTTGTTAATCACTATAGTTGGCTTCAGCAAGTAACCAGCTAGCCTGCCTTTTCCCAGATAACCGTGGAAAAAAAGAACATACTTGAAAAAAGGAACAAAACAAATTCTAAACCATTCCATATATCAGAGTATTTATACGTCTCTTGGTGTTTTTCTATACAAGAAGCATGTGCACTATGCTATTTATCTTTTCTTTTATGTCTATTCTTTGCTTTGAGGGTGACAAGGCCATCAGTTTTCCTATGGACTATGCAAAAGAAAAACAAAAGAAAAGGAATAATAAGAAAAAAAAGAGATTCTTGAATGAGTTTACTTCTTTTGGAAGCTGCTAACTTAGTACTGAAAAAAAAAATCCACCTAAGATCTATTTTTGATGTTGAAGGTTTTGATGGTGAGAAGTGAAAAGTGAAAACATCGTTTTTCATTTTTATTTTGTTTTTGAAGTTTATAAACATGTTTGCTAGTTATGTTCTTAACTCACTGAGAACTAGACAATCGTAGTTTTACTTCCAAGAAACAAAATATAGAAATGAAGTCACCAAAAATATATTCTACTGCAGTTTTTAATTTTAAACATTTTAAACAAAAACTAAAAATAGTAGGCCAAAATCATTAGGTGCTAGAGTCAGTTATTCTCGATTTGTTACATAACGATATCACAATCACAGTAGCATTAGCAATCAAGCTGTTTATTGATACTAGCATAGAATTAATTGGTTAAACGAGGCATACCAATCTGACCAAGAAGCTCGATTTTCACACCAGTATGTTCAATTTTTTTTCCTTGAACAGGTTCGATAGACACCTGCATATTGGATTTACCGCTATGATTTATCCATACATTATTTGCATACCAAAAATTGTCACTGTATAGTAGTGCTGTGAAAACAAACAATACTAAAATCTTCAAAAGTATGTAAAGTACCTCCCCTACAATGTTTTCTAGGCTTTGGAAAAGTGGAACCATTGCAGTCTGTCCATTTTCCTTCTTTATAGAAGCCTGTACAAATACGAAAATATCCCCACCACAAGAGAACATACTGTAAGTTTAACTTGTACTGAGACTGAAAGTACTCAAGCATAGGGTTGATACAAATAAATATCAATCAGATATTCTAAACATAAACATTGTTTTACCTTTTTTCGGGTTTTCCCATCAGCAAATGAGATTGTAATGTTACATGGTGGCTTGAATGCTCCAATAATGTAATTCTGGATAATATAAGGAGAAATTAAGATGTCAAAACAGCAAAACATTTTGCAGGCAATTTAAGAAAACCCCTGAATACGTTACAAGATGTATGATGATGAAGTTCAGGGAACTTTGTACTTGCCAAAAAGCATCATTTATTTGGTGAAAGTCAAGGTACTTGCACTTTCAGATGGAAGCAATGTTCAATTTACTATTCCTCCATTTGTTTGGTGAATCATATAATGAAACTATTATCAATCAAACCCATATATCAAACAACTGATTTTTTACCAATAAATATTAACTATACATAGTAGTTGGTCATCAGGATCACCATGTTGATGGGCATGGAAAACATAAGTTTCAACATATTACCTAAAAAAAATCAGCACAAGCATGTCAACCATACTAGAAAAGCCAGCATATGGCTAGAGCAACGTTGATATATGCTGATCGGCACAACTAGGTAACAAAAAATAATAACCCTTGGTTGGCACTGATAGCCTATGAAGTACCCCAAAAAAATATTTTAAGAAGATAAAAAGTTTTCACACCTTATCTTTTCGCATACAAATCCACAAGTGAAGATCATTTGACAATGCAACAACAGAAGAATTTGGATAAAGATAGTAAAGACAACCAAAGGCATAAAATAGCACTAAGTTATAAATTAATAAAGTACGAGCAATTTATCCACTCATATATGCCCATGGTGTCACTGTGTGCTAGTAGAAGTCGTCTTAACCAAGATTAAACTAAGGTTTTGATTAAGGTTCAATAACTTCAAATATCAAATCATCACAATGAGTACTTCTGAATATACTTTATTCTTCATCGTTAAAAGGGAAAAATAGACCTTGATTTATAGCAAGTCTATCTTGTTTTGCCAATCCATGCTGCACTTGCTAATTAATCCATCCATAAAGTATGTAGTTTCTGTTGGGACTGGAAATTCCAACAAATCATAACTACGATTATCCAGAAAGGAATTCATAGAGTTTTATTTACTTTGGAGGACATTTACAAGATTTCCAAATTCCAACTTTATGATGATTCCTGAGAAATTAGAGGTGATAAAAGGGGATGTGCATTTTTTTTCTACACATTAGATGTACAAGAAATATTTTGTTCAATGAGCAAAACTAAACTAGTTTCAGCTGTACAAACAGGACAAGTATCAAAGAACCCTCATAAATATCAGATGTAAGCACAACCAAGTTCCATAATATCAAAGAGAAAAAAATAATAGAAGAACATACCATGCTTGAGATTGATTATCAGATAACAACCTTTCCTCCTCAGAGAACCTGAACCCATCAAGTGCAATAAAATGAAATAGGTTCTAATAAAAAAGATAAGTTAGCTACTTAGCAAATCATATAATGATCAACAGTTAACACTAGAAACTAAGTTATCAGCACAATATCATGATGAGTTATGAACTTGTAGATTCATATGTCTTAGTACTTCGAATTCGTTGGCTTCTTTAGCAGTTTTCCTACTGGCAAGAGTACATAGCGTAGACTATTTGTGAATGTATCATATCGTGAAAGGATGAGGCTACAAACATCGTGAATGTATCATTTTTGTCCTAAAATGAGAGGAATGAAGGTTAATAATGGGAGATTAGAACTCGACATGGTCTTTGGCTGTTAGACTAGTCTTTTTCCAATCTACAATTACAAACTGTTAGAACCCTTGCAGATTC